GTAATGAAGCAAGTCCAATTTCCTCCACCGTTCTCTTTTATTTTACATTATGAAATTGTATATCAATCAAAAGTTTCCTATTTTTTGTGTGGCTTGAAACTTATCTATTTCTTTTAAATCTCTCTAAATGCAGACAGTTATACTAAAATACATGATACTCCGTACCAAATACGATTTTTAATACTTATAACCATTTTCATTTGAGTGATTACATCAATTAACTGGATCCATTCTTGCGAGAAATAAATATGATCAAAACATAGATAACGTTATAAAATAATATTTTGGTCCTTTTGTCCCGAATTTTTATTTATTTGACTTGGCATACTTATTAAGAAAGTGAGCATAAAGTGATATGTGATAGTGGATGTGTAAGAAAAATATAAATGAATATTAGTCACAAAAATCATTCCATAAAAGAAAATGAGATTTTTGTGGAACATTTCAAAATGATAAGTAAGATGGTAATAATTTTTTTAGACAGGCGTAGTGCAATTTATTTAGTCATATTTTGAGAAGAAAATGTTGATAGTCCTATTTTGAAAGGGAAAGTTCCCGAAATGAGACTAAAAATGTTTGAAAATTCCAAAATAGGACTGTCATGTTTTTATTCTCAAAATGGAACTAATTCCTGCCAAATTTGGAAAATACTGCCATGTTTGAAGTCTGGTACTGTCAAAACATGGCCATAATTAGTCCTATTTTGGAAATAAAAATATGGAAGTCCTATTTTGGAATTTTCAAACTTTTTTAGTCCATTTTGGGTAATATCTCATTTTGAAAAGATTTTAAATTAATCTTGTGAAATATTATTTTGTAAAAAAGTGAAACTCCCAAACTCCTAAATTCGCATTAGTGGTTCAATAAAATCTCAACCCTTTAAAATTATCAGAGTCTTCGTTTATAATCTAATACTCCTTATTAATCTTGAAAGAGATGTTGAATAGTATGAATATATTTAATCTAAATAGCATAGGATGTAAGTAAGTCTTTTCATTTGGAGTTTTTTCCAAAAATAATGTCAAATAAATAAATATTTCCCAAAATAAGGTTAGGTTAAAAGTATTTCCCAAAATACTGCTCCCTTGAACCCTAGTTAAAAGAACCGCCACTTGAAGTGGCGGCTCATGAGAACGACTGAAGCACAATGCAAGCCAAAGCAACATACGTGATGAACGCATAGTAACAGGACATAGGCCCCACAAAAATAAAAAACCTATTTATATTTCAAAGTGATTTAACTTTTTTATTTGTAGTTTGATCATTACAAAAAATATATCAAAATTCATAACTTTTTATTATCTTTCATATGACACCAATATTGAATAAATACAAACGAAAAAATATTTTAACATTTTTTAAAATGTAACTAGTATGTCTTTTTTATTTGTACTCCGATTGTTACAAAAAAATATTTTTAAATTCAAAACTTTTTGTTATCTTTCATAAGGCACTAATTTTGAATATACCAAAATTAAAAATAAATTTTATTAATTTGTGCATTTTAGAATCGTTTTTTACAGTGCACACATTTATTTGGAGTAATCGCTTAAATAAAATTGCACATACTCTTGTTTTACTCCTTGTACAGTTTTAGGATGTTTCTTTTGGATCGTTTTCCTTCCCAGATCTGATCTGATCATACCAGACCTGATCTATTTAAAACGTTTGTCCCAGATCTGATTAGACCAGACTTAGACAGACCAGACCCGATCTATCTAAAACGATTCTAAACAGCACAAATTATTAAAATAGATTTTTAATTTTGGTATTTTCAGAATTAGTTTCTTATGAAAGATAGCAAAAAGTTATAAATTTTAGTATATTTTTTGTAACAATCGGAGTACAAATAAAAAAGATATAACATTTAAAAATTGTTAAAATATTTTTTCGTTTGTATATATTCAATACTGGTGTCATATGAAAGATAATAAAAAGTTATGAATTTTGATATATTTTTTGTAATAATCAGAGTACAAATAAAAAAGTTATATTACTTTAAAATATAAAGGGGTTTTTTATTTTTGTGGGGCCTATCTCCTAATTACTGTGCATGTATCAAGTATCTTGCTTTGGCTTGCAGCGTGCTTCACTTGTTCTCATAAGCCGCCACTTCAAGTGGCGGTTCTTTTAACTGGGGTTATGGGAGCAGTATTTTGGGAAATACTTTTAACTTAACCTTATTTTGGGAAATATTTTTTTATTTAACATTATTTTTGGAAAAAACTCTTTCATTTGGACAGAAATAAACTTTTTTTGTACAAAAATAAATAAACTTAATAATGAACTACACTTCATTTTTAATCAATGGATTATTGATATATCACGATGGAGAACAACAAAAATGAAAACCCGTGCATTGCAATAAATGCACTTTATTTATTCCCTTGCCCACTCTTAATTGGTTGCCCAATTACCTCTTTTTATGTGACTAATTATTACTGTAATTTTTATTAGACATTCTAGGAAATTGAAGAGACTCACGGACTCACGGTAGGATCGGAATTCCAAAAGCTAAGCCACAAATAATTTCCGTCACCTCCCTCCTATTTTTTGGAACAATCTTTCCCGCCCAAACTCCATTGCCAACATTTTGTTATTATATATATATATAGATTTAACCTATCACTACATTAAATTAGGAGTTCAAATATTTCATATTTAACATTTTGGAATCCTAATACTACACCATTACAATTCTCATGTTTATATAAATGTGTCTATATATATCATTAACATTTCATCTTTATTCTTCATGAAATTTAGATTATGTCCACCAAATTTCAGCTAAAAATTCTATCGAAAAACCGTCAAATAAAGTTAGGAAAATAACTACGTTTTATATGTATATTTTGGCGTAGTTATCTTCAAAATATTATTTGGTCTGCTTTTTTTAATTGAATTTGTAGTTGAAATCTGATGGACATAATCTACACTTCATGAAAAACATTCTTAAAAAATTTCATTAAAAAATTACACCGGGGAACCGCCCCATATGGCAGGGGCTGGACGGAGGGTCTAGTCTAGTCTGATAAATGTCTAGTCTGGTCTGATTTGGTCTGATATTGCTAATATGGTTTGAGATGGACTGATATGATATGATATGATATGTTCTGAGACTGAAAACAAGTGCAAGTAAAAATATCCTAATACGTACACAAATTTATGATCATAATTTGTGCCCTGTTATAAAACTTGTGAACTAATGTCATGTCTTCTTATAATAAAATTAGGTGTACCCCATTTTAATTTACATAATTTGTACCCCTTAGTTTGTGTGGTTTACAAAAGAAATTCATACGGAGTAATAAATAATGCTATTAATTTATGAACGGCCACTTTTATGTGGTTCCTTCAAAAATTTAGCATATGGTACTCCCTAGTCCCTATTAGTTATAGGTAATTTTTTTTTTAAAGTTATGAATTATTCCAAATTTCAAAAAGGTCTATAACTTTATACGAATTATTCTCTAACTTGTGTGCTTTAAACATTATAAAACTTATATTTCGATGAATTATTTAGTCTATTTATATTTTAGGAAAAATTGAAAATAATAAATCCAACTATTGCCGGTCCACTAACAATAATCTCAACTATTGATTATTTTTGTATAATCCTAACTATATGGATCGTCTGTCAATAATGATCTATGACCAGATATTACCTCCTATAACAATTGAATTTTAAATAGAAATTAAGCGTTAAAATTAAAAGTTGATATTATTTGTAGAGATTACTTGTTATATCTCTTCTCATCCACTTTAGAAACTACAGAAATTTATTTATAGCCGGTCACGTCAGACCATTATCGGCGGAAAATCCTTAAAGTTGGGATTATTGTGAAATAATCGATAGTTGAGATTATTATGAGTGGACCGCCAATAATTAAGATTATTACTATCAATTTTTCTGATATTTTATTGTTAAATTTTGTCTACTTTTTTTATTTTAGATGGTCTCAATTCTCAAATTGTCATATTTGAAATTGTGGTCTCGAAATTTATTAAACCGGCCATGATACCCCGAATGACTCTTTTTTATTTTGTTTACTATGCGGATTATTGACATGTGGGACTATGGGCAACACCAATTTTACACTTTGTAGATGATCACTTGACAACCACATATGCCAACCACCTTTGTACCAACGCCATTGCCGCCGATGTAAAATTTAAGGAAAAATGATAAAGGTACCTCAATTGGTACCCTAATTTGTACTTCATCTTATTTTTGTGGCTCACAAAAGCACCTCATTAAAGTGTGGCAATTCATTTATTGAGGTAAGCTTTTGTGAGCCATAAAAATAGGTTGGGGTACTAATTGGGATTTAAGAGGAGTGGATTGCTTCTCTTACACTGCACTCTGCCGGCCTTTAGTTCCACCCTTCCAGGTTCTAATGGATTACAGCTAAACACTTTTGTGGATCGGTGGGATGTACAAAAATTCAATTCAATGCACAAAGTATAACTAAATTAGACTATATTCTACTCCATCCGTCCCTTAAAACTTGGTCAAGTTTGACCGGCACAGACATTATTAAAGTACAAACTGTGTGGTTGAGTTTTATGCAAAAGAGAGAGAGTTAACTGAACCACAAATTCTTTACTTAAAAGAGAAAATGACAAAGTTAGTGGGACAATAAAAAAAGTTGGCAAAATTTTAAGGAACGAAGGGAGCATAATAATTCCGTACTTCCTCTATCGCTTAAAAAACTTCACATTTCAAAAGTAGGTAGATTAAGAATAGTGATAGAGGATATAAATTATTAAGGGTATGGTGAGAAGATAGTGGAATAATGTGATGGAATGAAGGAAAAATCCAATAAAGTGGTTCTAATAATGTATTATTTTCAAAATTATTGAAGGTATGATGAGAAAATTTAGAAACGGGAAGATTTTTCGTTAAGGACGAAAAAGGAAAGTGAGAAGATTTTTGTTTTTGTTTTTGAGGGAATAGTATTTAAAGACCATTTCAAATATGGAAACCACCAGCCAACACTGAAAAATATTTCACTCCATGGCCTTATCCCAAACCGTCATCATATTAGACCAAATTCCTATCTCCCCGCCGCAGGAAGCGATTGCCAGACCCCCCCTTCCCCTAACATTTTTCGATGTGGAGTGGCTGCCATGCCCCCCAATGACTCAACTCATATTCTATCACCACCCAATGGGAAGAACCGACCTTTTGGATTCCCTAATTCCCATTATGAAAAAATCCTTATCCCAAAGCCTACAACGTTACAGCCCCTTAGCGGGTAGATTGGTTGTCTCACCCGACAAGGCAAACATACCAGAAATTTGCTACACCAATGGTGACACTGTTCCGTTGGTTATCGCGGAGTTTGACTCGACGAACCCCAACGATTTTAACCACTTTGTGTCAAATGATGCAAGAAGTTCAATGGATTTCAATCAACTAAATCCAAGACTACCCCTGACTTCACGAGCATCAGATGGCTCACTCGTAATCCCATTGTTGGCGTTACAAATTACACTATTTCCCAATGTCGGGATATGCATAGGTGTGACTAACCACCATGCAGTGTGTGATGGGAGTAGCATCTTTGGATTCATGAAGTCATGGGCTTTCTTCTCTAACTGTCACAAAGACCACAAAGACGTGCCACCTCAATTTGTACCGGATTATGATAGAACATTCTTCAAAGAGCATAAGGAGCTGACATCTATTTATTGGGATTGTGTGAAAAACGTCAACTTTGAGAAAACACATAATGCTCATCGCCTTCCATGTACCATCAACAAGGTGAGGTCCACTTTTGTCGTGACACGAGACGACATTCAACGACTTAAGAATCACATCCTCAAGCAAGGGCGTAAATCTCTGCATGTATCGACATTTACGGTGACTTGCTCATACACATGGAGTTGTCTGGTGAGATCAAGAAGCCAGACATACGAGGGTCAACAGGGGCGGAACCAGAGCACTGGGCCAGACTGTGAGGGTCAATATGGCGTGGAGTTGGAAGAAATGGAGAATTTTCTTTGTGCGGCCGATTGTCGGGCACGTTTGGACCCTCCCTTGGCTAAAAACTACTTTGGCAATTGTGTCGTGCCATGTCTAGCTAGCATAAGAGAAAAAAGCTTAATAGGAGATGAAGGGATGAGAAAGGCATGTGAGGGGATAGGAGAGAGCATTCGAAGCACATTATACAATAAGGAAAAGGAGGGGGTGTTGAAAGGTGCTCGTGATAGGCCTACCGTTATCTCGAAGTTGAACTTCGGTCGAACCTTGAGTGTTGCCGGCTCGCCCAAGTTTGACTATTATGGGCTGGATTTTGGATGGGGGAGACCTAAGAAGCATGAATTTACTTCTATTGATTTGAGTGGAGCCATTTCTCTTGGTGGAGCCAGGGACCATGAAGGTGGACTCGAAGTAGGCGTGACATTGCCCGTTACACAAATGCACTGTTTCACCAACTTATTCTATGAGGGTTTGAGAGCTTTGGGCAGCTCGCAAGCTATTGATGGTTGACATCATTCACCACACTTTGGTTTCGATTTTTTCCATGCACGAATGACGTTGGCTTCACACTAAAATAATTACGGCTTGTTTTGGTACTAATAAGTGAAAGCTAAGATTGAAGCTTTGGGAAAACCATCATTTTGTTTGGCAGATGGGAAAACCATCATTAGTACGTGCATAAATTTGTGGTCATAATTTGTGCACTATTATAAGACGCGTGAACCAATTTCCTTTCTTTTTGCTTCTCTTGTATATGAAGACAATATCGTTAATAATTGTCATGCTATTTGATTAAATTGTGAGTTGTACTGTATAAAGATACCGTGAAAGGAGTATGTGTAAATATAATATTACGTACATACTTATGTCGGAGTTGAGCTTATGGGTATGCACTGGCGGACCCAGAAAGTCGGAGTTACGGGGTCCTTACCCTTTTATATCTCCAATCTCTAATTAATATAAAACTAATAAAAAAATATTAAAGAAGTATAACACTTCATAGTTAACGTCCACCATCAAAACATTAAGGTATTATAAAGCAAGAAATTACATGTAAAAAGCATTCAACAATTCTACAGATGTACCCTCCTAAGCTTCATTTGTTGGAAATATTCTATAATAGAATCATCACTAATAATTTTGGTCTATTTAATTAAAATAGGCCGAAACGACGTAGTTTTGGTCTATTTAATTAAAATTGTTTTGGAAAACAAAAAAGGTTTGTTGGAAATATTCTATAATAGAATCATTACTAATAGTTTTGTTCTATTTAATTAAAATAGGCCAAAACGACGTAGTTTTGGTCTATTTAATTAAAATAGTTTTGGAAAACAAAAAAGGTTTGTTGGAAATATTCTATAATAGAATCATTACTAATAGTTTTGTTCTATTTAATTAAAATAGTTTTGGAAAACAAAAAAGTAGACCAGGGGGATTCGAACATGGTACCTCTCCGAGTCTCGGACATAGAAACCTAAATATCGTATGTGCTCTCATTCCCCTACTACATTCTTCTACTTCTTAGGTCGTTTTGTATGTAAATATACACTTACTAATTAATTTTATATAATATATATATATAATATATATAGGTATTTTTAGTGCTCTGTGGGTATGTTCGGCAAAACTAGCAGAAAAGATACTTTTGTGAGCTTTTTAATAACTATTTCTTTTTAGTGACTGAAAAGATCTTAAAAGGAAAAAGGTGGTAGCGGTTTGGTAAAAAGTTGGTTGTTTCATTTAGTTCGATTTGGTATACAAGCTGTTAGGACTAATTAGTACTAAAAGTCACAGGCTTTTCTCATATACTACTCCCCGTAGCATCTCAAAAAAGATCTTTTAATTTTTGAAAAACTCTTAAAAATTGTCATGTCAAACATATAACTAGAAGTTTTTATATACTTTTTGAACAGTACAAAAGCGAGAAGGAAGGGACTTATGTATTATCACACCAAGAGCGGCTTTAAAAATGAAGAGTCATTTTAAAAAATAATAGAGCATTCTAAATACTCCCTCTGTCCCCGAATTTAGTTCCATTCCGCTTTTCGAGAATCAACTTAAATCACTCTTAAACTCTTACTTTTTGTATCAAAACTTTATGAAAATTGATTTTTTTTGCAGGCTTTGGTAGCGGGTTTAATGAAATTTCTGAATATTTAAATTTTATTTACTAAAAATAGTCCGAGTTTTCACATGGATCATTTAACTTTATCGTCGGTCAACTTTCGTAATCCGCAATTGGAACAACATTCAGGGACGGAGGGAGTACGTACTATATAGTTAGAAGTTGATGAATTGGATCGATGGGTTAATTAGAACTATATTTAGGAATTGGCAATTTTAATAAAACCCACTCATATGTTTTTAAATAACCAAAAAATAAGAAATGATAAAAGATAGAAAAAAGGTGCGATTTCCTTTTCAGAATTCGATCTATTGTACATCTTTTTTTCCTTAGCTTTATGGTCAACATGTGGAACCAGGGCCGGTCCCCATAAAACGAGGGCCCTGTGCAACAACAAAAATCAGGCCTTTCTTTTCTATCGTTAAAAGAAATGCTATTTCAATTGAAATGGTAAATTGTTAATACGGAGTAGTTGTAATTTATTAGAAAAATTATTTCAAAATAGAAGTTGCTAGTATTAACTAGCAGTAATAAATCCAAGAAAAATTTTTATTTATGTATAAAGTTATATAGTGAAACAAAAACAAATTTAACAGCCTAAGAACCTATTAATATCATTTTGTTGAACTCAGATTACAAAATTAATTCATAAAGAACCATTACTCTCTATTAGTTACGAATTTATATACCTACAATAGTGGAGTCCTTCCGTCCTAGATGTGTCCGAATCGCCGCAGCAACTTAGAAATCAGGATGGCTCGAGGCTGGAGCAGAGCCTGGAGACGGAGAGTCGTCCGCACGTCGCTCGTCTCGCTCAGTCACTCGTTATGCCCTTTGGCATATGCGCTTCCTCTTTCGCAGATTGCTATGCTCGTCACACACCTTTTTGTTCGCTATTGGCCTGACTAGCTTATACGGAGTAGTAGACTAGTAGTAATACTACTACTAATTTATTTTTTTGGACCTTCCATATTTTTGGGCCCTGTGCGGTCGGACACCCTGCACACCCCCTGGGCCGGCCCTGTGTGGAACGATTGTCGTGCTATTAATTGATAAAGACACTTAAATCAAATAAAATAAGATGTTTTTAATCGAACTATAATGTAGGATTCGATTAAAGATGTTTTTTACTTGGATTGTTTTCAGTTTCAGATCAGATCAGACTAAACCGAATTTGAACAATTATAAAATACACAGAGACTAGACGTATACTAGACTAGAAAATTAAAAATATCGTAATACCCGAAGTAATATCAATTACCTTTTTCCGAATGTCATGGGCTCTTCTTTTCTCTTTTATGTCTAGAAAGTCACACGATATGGATCCTGTGCCTTCATAAAAGTAGACACATGTTTCTCCATATTTATGATATGAAAAATGTTTTTGACGGGTGAAATAAGTGGACATTAATTTTTGTCCCATACGAAATGGTCAAAAAATTGTCGTATTTTATACCCACGAAAATGGTAAATGCAGCCGTCTTTAACCAAAGAAGTAGCTAGAACGACTTCTTCGCGGTGTACAAATAGAATATCTTAAGGAACAAGTAAAGAACAATAACTACACCAAAAACATTGTAGCAGTGAGAAAGTACTCCGTATTATTTACTAGTATGTATTACGTAATACGTAGTGCTCTCTATTTAAAACTCAAACTCAACAACATCCGATCATTATGATATTTGAGGCAATGGCATATCGAGAAAAATACATTAGTGGGGGCGAGTTAAGAAGAAGAAAAATTAAGCTAATCAGATTAAGAAAAAAATGTAAAATCAATTATAAATAACAAAATATTCTCTAGACAAAAACACTATGATATCATGTTAATTAAATTTCACTTTGTTAGAAATAAGTTTATCACATCAGTACTAGGGGCGGAGCCAAGGCACTGGGCCGAACTAGGCCGGTACAAAGAATATTTTCAGGAAAAAATTTACATGGTTTTTTTACCTTAAAAATTAAGCCATTTTTAAATTTTGGGGTGGGCCATGGCCTAGGTTGGCCCACCCCTAGCTCCGCCCATGAACATCACATTTGTAATTTGGGCAAAATATAATTATATCAATATATAAATGAATCAACTAAGGGAAGGATCAAACATGTACTGAATTTAAGTTGAAAATTCACAAGTATATTTAATAAATTAGTTTATATTATGGACAAAATCATTTCATATGTTAATCTAGAATGATAACTATATTGATGTAGTTCAAATCTTTCCAACAAGAAAAAAGATAAATTTATAAGGGAAAAAGGGCAACAAAAAAAATAAACAAAACTGGAGCAGGGATTCAAACCCTTGACAATATGGACATCACTGCTTGTTGCTGCGCAAATTTTCGCTCAGCTACAGACCCAATTTGGTATATTTCTGGTATTTAATACTCCGTACTATCTCATTGTAAATTTGTGTACTTTGATAAATGCAATATATGATTGAAAATTTACACTATTCACATGTTCTACTTTGACTATATTTTATTTATTATTGTATTAATATATTTTTATAAAAATAATATTGTTAAATTGTCTCATTGTAAATTTTCAAAATCTAATTTTTTAATTTTTTTTACTAATACAAAATTATATATATTAATGGTCAAAGTTGTGTCTCGACAAGTGTGAAATGTTGACCGTTGCATTTATTTAAGAACGGAGGAAGTATATAAGATCCCTTTATTCAACACAAAAATATATGTAAAATTTTAAAATGAATATGTATATATATGGTTTGGGTGGGGTTGAGTGGCGGCAGCTGCCCCCTGCCCCCACCCTGGATACGCCTCTGATTTGAGGTATTATTAAAGAACAATTTAAAACGACAACATTTTGTTTCAATCCTTAATAAAATAAAATAATGGGAAAACTGTCAAATAGGTCCTCGAACTTTCATAAAAAGGTCAATTAAGTCCTTCTATAGGAGGTTCTGTCCGGCCGTCGCGATTTGGGGCAGTTCCCGGTGGAATTTTTTGATGAAACTTTTTGAGCATCTTATTCACCAAGCCTACCAAATTTCAGCTAAAAATTCAATCGGGAATACATTCAAATAAATTCTTGAAGATAACTGCGCATTTTTACGTTCTCGAATTAATTTGAATGCACTCCCGATTAAATTTTTAGCTGAAATTTGGTATGAGTAAACTAGACTTGATGAATAAGATGCTCAAAAAATTTCATAAAAAAATTCCACCGGGAACCGCCCCAAATCGCGACGACTCGACAGAGTCTCCTATAAAAGGACTTAATTGACTTTTTTTTATGAAAGTTCGAGGACCTATTTGACAGTTTTCCCTAAAATAATAAATCAGATGTTATCGGATTCATACCACACTTTAAATGATTGAACAATTAAATTTACGAGTCATTTCGATCAACAGGGACGCACGCACTAGGTGTATCAACATTTCAGGTCGTTGACGATAAAAAAACATTTAAGGTCGTTGGGTGTAATCCAATGAATGACCATCCACCTTCAAGTCTAATCTCTCTTATGTGAGACGTCTTGGGTTCTTTTCTCATCAAGAGGAGATGAAGGAGATCTTGCTCTCAATGATTCTTTCTACCTTCACGGAGTTGTTCAACGACTGAGAAGAGAGATGATAGTAATGAAGGCAATGAGTTCATGTGGTGGGAGGAGCAACCGGGATAGCAGGTGATGTAAATTCCGCTAGATTCGTCCTTTGGATCCAGTACCAACGAGGTTGATTTTATTCAGATCCAGTTTTAACTGTTTAGCAGCTTTGGATGGTAGTTCATAAACTCCAGATTATGAGAGCATAATATCACACCAAAAACAACTAAAGTGTAAAAATAATATTGTGTACATACTTAAATCGGAGTTGAGTTTATGGAAACAATGACCTAAAAATCACTTCTGGAGTTCCATTGGAAAAAAATGTGACTAATTTAGGGAAAGACAAACAAGTGAGTTGGAATCTAAAAAGTCTGTCCCAAATTTCCATCTCCAGAGCTGTCCGTACCAATCCTCTCCATGTTCCAAGCTGTTCAGCAGTTCATCTCCCCACCTCACAGAAACAACACCGTCTCGCCTCCGCGGCCAGCAAGGGCGGCCGCTCAGGCTCTTGTTTCCACCGGATGCCATTGTGTCGCCTCCGCCATCTGCTTCCGTGTCGCATCCGCCGATCTGTCTGCGTGCATCATCTGCGCCTTCTTTCTCTTCGCCCAAACTTCTTCCGCACAGATCTGGAGCACCGATCTGGAGCAACAATGGCATTCCTTCCACCTCTGCAACCACCTCCATCTTTCTTCTCCGATAACGTTTTTTTCCTTCCACTTTCTTCTTCGCAAAATTTCATCGTCCACTTCAATGGAATCCGCCGTCGTTGGATTGGAGGAGCCGATGTTGCTGTTGGACGATCTAGACATACATCGATGGCGGCGTTGAGGTGTTGAACCTCTCCACCCGCGATGGCTAGGGTTGGGAGTGACGATTTGGGGCTGGGGTTGAATGCTGGTGGTGTTGACCGGCGGTGGCTTGGCAGGGCATATTGGGCGACGGCTATATTGGTCGCTGGTGGTGTTGACCGGCGGATTGTGGTGGCAGCTGCAGATTGTGGTGGCATGGTGATTGCAGAGGTTGGGGCTGAGGGCCTGGGGAAGGTCCGGTGATTTGGGCCAGCTCCGGTGGACGGTGGTTTGGGGCAGGGCTTGTGGGCGTGGGGCGTGGCTAGGATGATGGGGTGGGGAAGTGCTGAAATGATGAGGCAGGTCTAGGGTGATATGGGCAGGGCTAGGCTGGAGTGATGGGGTAGTGCAGGGCTGTAATGATGGTGGTGGGGCAGGGCAGGGGTGTTGTGGGGACAACCGCCATTGTGGCGGCCGACTGTGGCCACAATGACTAAGGCTGACCGCGTCACTTAACGAAAAACGATCACAGTGACATGGGCGGTGACCATAGTGACACGGGCGGTGGCTATAGTGACACAGGCGGTAGCTACAATGACACGGGCGGTGGCTACAGTGACAAGGACGGTGGCTACAGTGACAAGGGTGGTGGCTACAGTGACACGGACGGTGGATACAGTGACACGGGTGGTGACGACAGTGACATGGGTGGTGGTTGTAGTTACAAAAAAACGAACACAGTGACATCATGTTTTCTAATTCTACATATATGACTTTCTTTGATCACTTTTTTGTCCCTTTTTAAAAAAGGTCACTTTTTGGGTAATTGGTTCAAAATTAGTAATATTCAAGTAAAAACCCGAGTTTATGTACTACGTATTATCACACCAAAAACAACTTAAAATGAAGTCATTTTAAAAAAAATAGAGCATTCCAAATATAAAGTTAGAAATTGATGAATTGGATCGATGAATTAATTAAAACTATATTTAGGAATTGACAGTTTTAATAAAACCCGCTCATAAGTTTTTAAATAACCAAAAAATGATTAAAGATAGAAAAAAGGTGCGATTTCCTTTTCAGAATTCGATTCTATTTTTCCTTTATGGTCAACATGTCGAAGTGGTCGAACGACTGTCGGCCTATCGATTGATAAAGGAGAGCCGCTTGTCTACACGTTTTTTGTACACGTTTTTTGTACACGCCTCCTAGTTTTCTGTCCAATGCAACTTCTTACAATATTGTCTAATTAGACATACAACTAGGGGAGTGTACACAAAACGTGAACAAAAAACGTGTACAAACAATTTTTTTTATAAAGACACTTAAAAGGATAAAACAAAACTAGAAAGTCGCATGATAATCCTATGCCTTCATGTAGACACATGTTTCTCCATATTTATGATACGAATTGAAAAATGTCTTTGACGGGTAAAATAAATGGACATTAATTTTTGTCCCATACGAAATGGTCAACAAATTGCCGTATTTTATACCCACGAAAATGGTAAATTCAGCACATCTTTAATCAAAGAAGTAGTAGAACAATAACTACACTAAAAAGGCAAAAACATTGCAGCGGTGAGCAAGAAGTACTCCATAAAAATTACTCCGTATTACGTAGTATTTAAAACTCAAACTCAACAATACATTATGATCTTTGAGGTATTTATTACGGAGTTATAAAGAACAATTTAAAATGACAACATTTTGTTTCAATCCTTTGAATAAAATAAAATAACAAATGAGATAGATACATCATACCATGGAATTCCATACCACACTTTAAATGATTGAACAATTAAGGATGTTTTGTTTTGGACTGGAATTTGTTAGTCTGGTCTGAATTGGTCTAGTCTGATCTAGTAAACGTCTGGTCTCTTTGTATTTTATAACTACGGAAGTCAAGTCTGACCTGGTCTGGTCTGATCTGATCTGGACTGGTCTGATCTGATTTGGTTCGGTCTGGTCTGAGACTGAAAACAGTCCAAAAGAAAACATCCTAAATTGACAAGACATTTCGATCGGATTCAGATCCTCTGCTGTGCAGTAGAGGTGCCTTGCGGCAATGGACGGCCGGATGAAGATGATGACGCCTCGAGATGCGATCCACCAAGATCTGCTGCAGTTGGTTGTTTAATCGAACGCCCTCCAAAGTCGGGCAACCTACCTTGCTGCAAAGCAACGTAGAGGTTCCAGATCCATTTCGATCAACAAGGACCCACGTAGTAGGTGTATGAAAAGAAATCGAATTGCATAATCATTACAGATGTTTTCTTTTGGACAATTCGCAGTCCTAGACCAAATCAGACTTAAACAAATCAAATTAGACCAAATGAGACGTAAACAAATCATATCAAATCAAACCAGGTCAAACATGAACAATTATAAAATACACAGAGACCTGACATTTACCATACTAGACTAGACCTTAATCGGACTCAAATAGACCAGACAAGATCAGACCAAATCGACCAGCAAATCTCGGTCAAAAAAGAAAACATCCCACACGTTAAGATATGATCAAATTTCTACCCATGTCACACCGGTTGAAAAGATTTACCTCACATATTTGATACTCTCTATATATATACAATTCCTTAGATTTTGTAACTTTATAATTTAACTTCTCTTTAACATTTTAGTACTACCTCCGTCCCACAAAGAAGTTCCCGATTTGACCAACACACATATTAAGGAAATAAACTTATCGGGGGGTAAATTTTACTGTTTGACACTGTTTTGCATAATTTTGCACTATTTTGATGTAGATAACTTGTCATTTAAAGAAAAGAAAGCTTCTTTTTTGGACTGCTAAAAAGGAAAGCGGTAACTTCTTTACAGGACGCAGGGCCGGTCCCCATAAAACGAGGGCCCTGTGCAACAACAAAAATCAGGCCTTTCTTTTCTATCGTTAATAGAAATGCTATTTCAATTGAAATGGTAAATTGTTAATACGGAGTAGTTGTAATTTATTAGAAAAATTATTTCAAAATAGAAGTTGCTAGTATTAACTAGCAGTAATAAATCCAAGAAAATTTTTTATTTATGTATAAAGTTATATAGTGAAACAAAAACAAATTTAACAGCCTAAGAACCTATTAATATCATTTTGTTGAACTCAGATTACAAAATTAATTCATAAAGAACCATTACTCTCTATTAGTTACGAATTTATATACCTACAATAGTGGAGTCCTTCCGTCCTAGATGTGTCCGAATCGCCGCAGCAACTTAGAAATCAGGATGGCTCGAGGCTGGAGCAGAGCCTGGAGACGGAGAGTCGTCCGCACGTCGCTCGTCTCGCTCAGTCACTCGTTATGCCCTTTGGCATATGCGCTTCCTCTTTCGCAGATTGCTATGCTCGTCACACACCTTTTTGTTCGCTATTGGCCTGACTAGCTTATACGGAGTAGTAGACTAGTAGTAATACTACTACTAATTTATTTTTTTGGACCTTCCATATTTTTGGGCCCTGTGCGGTCGGACACCCTGCACACCCCCTGGGCCGGCCCTGACAGGACGAAGGAAATAATATAAAAATGATCAAAATCTCAGTCAAAATTTTCCTCATAATAACTCTTTAGTAATATAAAAACAGGTAGTACTACTATTTGTCCCATTAGTGGCCACACATTAGATCGGGTAAGAATGAGGTATCTATTTTTGGGTACCTGTGGCATTTCTCTAAGTGATATTGCTTGCTTCTGCCTTAAATCAATGGATTTTACTAAGCAGTGTCTAATTTGACGGGTAAAATCAATGGATTTTACTATTTGCCTTAAATCTGTATCTTTAGCTATACACATCATGTCCGTGTAAGGTGTAATAGACTAAGGGAATGCTTACGATTGCTTCTACTTTAAAAAAATGATTTTTTAAAATAATTTTAGAGAAAGTACAGTATTTAGTAGTAAAAGTTAGTAGTGTTTGAGAAAATAGTGATTATGAAAAAATAAAAGTTGGTAGTGTTTGGTAAAATAAGTGCTTTTTGTGTAATAGAAAAAGTGAAAAGCAGTTTAAAACATCCTCACACCTGCTTCCAGCTTTTGGCTTTTAAGTGATGAATTTAAGCAGATCGAAACTGTCATTTGAAAACACTCTTTTTCAGCATTTTTTAATCCAAAAGCTAAAAAACACTTTTTATGTAAGTGCAAACACTCATTAATAGTATGGGTGAAAAATCTTTTTCCGATAAAAAATTACGAAGTAAAGAGGAATGTGGTAGGGCCAAGGACGTATGCACAGCTTGGGTAGGGGCAACTTCCCCTAGTAAGAATGTTTTTACTTGGACTGTAATTTGCTGGTTTGGTCTGGTCTGGTTTCTTTGTATTTTTATAACTATCTAAGTCTGATCTGGTCTGATCTGGTCTGGGACGAATTACAGTCCAAGTAAAAACATCCTAAACTAACACCGATCCTCTATATTATACTCTCTCTGTCCCCCCTATAATTATCTCATTTTATCATTTTTGGATGTTTCCCTATTATTATCTCATACTACCTTCGTCCTCCTAAGTTTGGGACAAGAGAAGGTGACACGGTTTTTAATAAAAGTGGGTTTATGTGGTTGATATTGAATTGATAAAGTAAGAATGATTTAGAACCACACAAATTTTACCAAATAAGGTATGGGGACAATCTTAATGGGACGGATCGAAAAGGTAAAACGAGACAATCATAGCGGGATGGAGGGAGTACCATTTTTGGTAACATTTGTGTGACTTTAAATCATTCTTACCTTATTCCCACTTTATCAACTCATTATTAATCACATAATTTTTCTTTTCTTAAAAACAATAACACTCCCTTCCATCCCAATATTAAGGGGAGGGAGGGAGTACTAGAAAAAAATTGACCAATAGAGTTGCCTCCTATAAAAAAAGCAAAAATGATCTTTGTACTCACTCTTATACTCACTTTTGTACCCATCTATGTTTGTGAAGTGTTTTTTTTTGTCTGTGAACTCCGGCTCACA